TCCTTGTCCTTGGTCTAGAGATGTCACTGAATGTTTGTGGATCTCCCCTGATAAACAAAGGCAATACCTTGCCTAGCAGTTATGGAGACAAGCAAGGAAATCAGACAGTCTGAGGGGCTGGGTAGCTGGTGTGTTCGGTGGTGGGACCCAGAAATGTAGGAGTCAAGCATCCATTTTTGAGGTGAAGGATATTTTTTTTTTCTTTTTGAGTTGTCCACAGATCCTGAAGTGTAATAACTTGTTGAATCTACTGAGTAGCCTTTAAAAGAAAGGATGCTGCTGATCACAGGGAGCCCAAGCAAGAGGAAAGGCAGAGGGCATGATGCCATCTCATCCTTCCTTCTGTGTTCAGACATGCAACTTTAAAGGCCATTCCTAACTTGGCTTAGGACTGGATGAATGCCCTACCTGCTTCATGACACCCTCTTCTCGGGCATTTATCATACTGAATTATAATGATGGGTTAGCATAGACTATTAAGCTACTTAAGACCCTAGGTGTGTTTTATATGTTGTCTTTTTTTAAATTAATGTATACTTAGCACACAGTAGATCTCCAAATCTTTGGCTGGTGACTAAAGAGATGCACACATAATCCTTCCCAAGTTGCCAGCCGGGTGCGATTACTGATGCTTGTTCCTCTTACTCTGGCTTTGCAAAAACAAGAACCCAGAGCATCCCAGTCCACAAGCGGTCATACCTGTCAGACACTCCCTGGCAGTTTCAATGATCTCTGCCTTCCCAAGCAGCTGCAACTTGCCCTAACACAGGCCAGGGCTTCACTCATGTGTGGGTCTCTAAAGGCCTCCTTTCTGAAGCTAGTTTAAGCAGATAAAGAACATCATTAAGTGACACAAAAATAAACAGGTTTCTCAGGGGAAGGGAAATCTACCCCATAAGTAAATACTGCCGAATCTTTGGATGCTGGTTATCCAGCAGCACAGTTTGGGAAGGACTTTCAGCCATTTCCAGAGAGTAGTACTTTAGACTCATCTACTCCAAGACCTTCCCTTCATGCCATCTTGAGAAAACAGTCCAGGGATCTAGGTCTTTATCTAAACAGTCACATAAGCTTCAGATGAGCACCTTTCTTTCTCTATGCCTCAGTTTCCTTGCCTATGATACCCAGACAGGAGGGGTAGTTATTAAAGGGAGGAGCCTAGAGGGCCTGGGAGTTGGAGGGACACAGACAGGGTTAGGGCTGTTGTTTCTAGGGGCCTGCCTACCTCCACACTTGCTGGGCTGCTTTCCCACTGGCCACCACAGTTATAGCTCCTCCCCCAAGCCTCAACCATGTTTACAAAGTATCCCTTAATTAGGCCTCTTCCTCCTTGTCCCAAAGAAGCAGGTAGAGAACGGCAGATCCCTTTCCAGGCTCTGACTGTGGGCAAATCAAGACAACTTCCTATGAACCTTAATTTCCTGTTCATCATTTGGGAACAAAAATGATAGCACCAGAGAAGGTTACTCCAAGGACTAAATGAAATAAAACCCAGATCTCTTTGGCACATACTTCTGCTTGCCTTCCACTGTCTCTACACATAAACCATTTCATGGATGGCCCCACCCAGGCTCCTGGCAGCCGGACTCTCCCAGGAACAAAGGAAATTCCCTCCCTGGGGGTGAATGGGGAGGAGGAAGACTCTAATTCCGTAACAGGGGAGGTTGCTTGCCAGCTGGACAAGCTGGAGTGGGGGAATGGGGCCAGGTAGTGGTCATAAGGTGCCTCCTTGAGAATACAGCCCAGGGATCTAGGTCTTATCTAACCAGCCATATAAACTTTGGACAAGCGCCTTTCCTTCTCTATGCTTGTTTCTTTGCCTGTGAAACAGGATGCTACACAGACATGAGGGGAAGTTATTAAGAGCAAGAAGAGCCTAGAGGGTCCTAAAGGTGGGTGGATTAGAGCTGTTGTTCCCAGGGGACAGTCCCATTTCCCCCAAAGTTCCAAACATACTCAGCTCCCACCTGGACAGCTCTGCTGCCAAACCTCCTGGTGTTTTCTAGAGCCAAAAAAATCTCACTCCTTTTCAGGCCTCTTACTGAGAGATTACCCATCCCTGTTTCTTTCTCTCCTTCTCCAACACACTTCCCTTAGGAGCCTTCCCAAATTAGGTATGTTTGTCCTTAAAAGCTTGTTTCCTTCCTCCAGAGTCCCAATGTTTGAGTAAACTTTGGAAGGGCAAAGGTCACAGCTTGGATCTTCTTTATGAATGATGCCCGGACTGTAGTAGATACTCGGGAAATAACTCGCATTTAATATCTGGACTGGCTCACAACTTTTGAAGTTTCCATTGGCAAATATGTAAAGAGTTGAGAAAATGCCGGGTGCTGGTGGCTCACGCCTGTAATCCTAGTGAAAGACCCCCTCCCTAACCAACCAGGCCCTGAGCCTCCTTTTTTTTTTTTTAGGGGAACAGAGTTTTGTATCTAACCACGCTATTTCTGGCTTCTGTAACATGCTTTGCTAAGAAAATTATATTACCCCCATATTCCCCCTTTTGATAACTAACCTCACCAGTTAATCAATAAGCCCACACCCTACTAACTAATCCCGCCCCGCAGTCAGCCCCCTGGTGTGAGCGAACTTTTGACAGGCGTTGACTCGGACAAAGGTCACTTCCTCATACCAAGGGCCGGAGACCCCCTCGAACAGTGATTGGCCAAAACATATGATTTGTTTTAAAAGGATTGGCTGCCTGTGTGCAGACCAGGTTGTAACACTTTAAATTTACTGGCTGAAAAAGCACGGGCACTCCTGTAACGGACAGAGGGGTCCCATAAAAGGACCATCCCCGGGACTGCTCGGGGTTCCCAGACACTGACCCGAACCTTGCGGATCTCGAGGTCACGTGCACCTGGGAACCTGGGCATGCCCAAATAAAATCCTCGTGCCTTTTGCATCTGGTGTCGTCTGACTGGTGCTTGGGGCAGGGAGGTCCGGATTTGGGGGACACCCGAAGTCGGGGGTCTTTCACTAGCTACTCAGCCAGCCCGGGCAGGAGAGACCGTAAGACTCCTATCTCCAATAAACCACCAGAAAACCGGAAGTGGCGCTGTAGCTCAAGTGGTAGAGCGCTTGCCTTGAGCTGAAGAGCTGAGGGACAGCGCCCAGGCCCAGAGTTCAAGCCCCACAACCGACCAAAAAAAAAAAAAAAAGAGTTGAGAAAACCCCACTCCCAGGATAGCCTTGTCTTCCCACCTGGGACTAGAAGCCCCTGCGGTCCCTTGTCCCCCTTCTTTTTTTTTTTTTTTTTTTTTGCCGGTTGTGGGGGCCTGAACTCTGGGCCTGGATGCTGTCCCTTGGCTCTTCAGCTCAAGGCTAGCGCTCTACCACTTGAGCCATAGTGCCACTTCCGGCTTTTTCTGCTTATGTGGTGCTGAGGAATCGAACCCAGGGCCTCAGGCATGCAAGGCAAGCGCTTTACCACTGAGCCACCTTCCCAGCCCCTTGTTCCCCTTCTTATAACACATTCTGTGCCTCAGATTAGAGCCAGGTTAGCTCCATCCAAATTCCTTGCTTAATCCCACCACACCATTACTTGAGGAAAAAAAGAGGAGCAGGGTAGCACAGTGGTGAAGAGCAAGAGCTTTGGTATGCGAATCCTGGTTCAGTCACTTACTAGCTGTATATGTAACCTTCAACCTATACCTAACTCTCCTGGATCCCGGGTTCTTCTTTTCCAAAAGTAAGGACAATACTTACCTGAAACCAGTGGTTGTGAAAAGCAAATGAAAAAATGCAGTCATTTGTGGCTGGCATATAACGAAGTGCTAAATAGAGCCTTTGTTATTATTGCATCATGAACTTGACCCCTGACCCTAGCTGCAGCCTGCTGCCCAGCATTGCCACCTACTTCCTTTTCCCTCTCCTCTATGTTCAAGCTTGTCTTTTTCTTCTACGAAGTGCAATATACAAAGAAAGCTCAGTCAGGCAAGGAACAATGACGGCAGAAGCAAGGATAGTGAAAAGTTAACCCTTCCTCTGGCGACCCATCTAGCAAACTACCTAGATCAACCTTCCCAGGAAAAGGAATCTCACCCCTGCCCTTCCTGGCTTGCTTTTCCCTTCTCAGGCACATTCAGCCTCCAACAGAAAGGAGGCTCCAATCATACTAAAGAGAGTTGAATTAGACAAGATCATACGTGTTCCTGTCTACATGGCCACAGACACGCAAGCAGCCTGGTGAACTCAAGCCTCCTGTTGCATATTCTGATCTGAGCACCTAAAGGCTGTCCCTATTTCTTTACAACCCTTGATGGAGGAGCTTGGGTTAGCAAATGAAAATACAGAATGCTCCATTAATTCCCAGTTTGGATAAACAACAAATAACTTTTTTTCTTTGTACTGGTATGTGATAATTGGGACACATGCACACAGAAGAGCTGCTATTTGACATTCAACTTTAACAGAATAGCCTAAGTTTTACCTGGAAACGCTACCCAGGTAAGGGAGGGCACCCTTAAGTGGTCTTCTGCTTCACACACACTGGGTTAGAACACCATTGTTCTAACCAGCCACCCTGGAAACACTTCCTCCTTTCAGAAAAGCACAGAGGATGGGGCTAAGTGGAAGGTTTGTTGTTTTTCCTGAGTGGCAGGGCCTGTATCTTGTCATGGGTGCCCAGCATGTGTCAGGCCACAGCTGGCCCTTGCAATAGCTTCCTGCACTCATTCTAGGCTGCTTGAGCTTCAGTGTAGCCCCAGGAGAAGGTAAGGGTCGGGTCAGCTGTCTGGGACTTGGACAAAGCTTTTGCCAAGAGAAACACGACCAAGCTGGGACTGAGGAATGGCGAAAATGGCTGAGGACCGTCGTGGGCTGCACATAACTTGTGCTCCAGACATCCTCTCTAGAGGCCTCGACGGCAGCCGCACGAGGTAAGCGGGGAGGAAGTGGGGGCGGGGGGGGGGTTGCGGGCCATTTCCTAGAGGTGAGGCGGCGGCATGTGCTGTGAGGTGAGGGGACCCCCCCGCACGCGTGGGGGGCGAGGCCGGGCCTACCTTCTGGGCCTGTTGGATCATCTGCCTGACCACCTGCTTCAGGTGCGGGGCCTTCTCTTCCTTGGGAGGGTGCGTGAAAAGGGTGACGCGGCTCACGCCGCGGTAGAAGCCGGTGTCGGTCCAGCCCAGGTCCAGAGGCGGCACCTCGGTGTCCGAGCGGTCCGGCCAGTAGGCCAGGGACTCGTCCGGCTCGGCGGGGCCCTTCGCGGGGGCCTTGGCCTTGCCCCGCGCGGGGGCAACGACGGCGTCCTCGTAGGGGACCCAGGCGGCGCGGAGGGCCTGGCGCTCCGGGCCGGAGAGGAAATCCGGCAGCCGCTCCCGCTGGACCTGCTCGCGGTACGCCCGCTCGCC